TTGCAACCCCTGCTTTTTTCTTAGTTCCATTTTCTTGGAATATTCTTTTCCATCCTTTTACTTTAAAGTATTGCCTGTCCTTGAAGGTGAGATGGGCTTCTTGCAGACAGCAAAGAGACAGATTTCTTAATCCATTCACTTAGCCTGTGTCTTTCAACTGGGGAGTTCAGTCCATTGATATTTACAGTTATTATTGAAAGATGTGTATTGGTTGACATCATTTTGATTGCTGTTTGTGTTCTCTGTCTAATTGTGTGTTTCCTTGATTATACCTTTATTTATTTTCTTTCATTTCCCCTGAGGTATAGTTGTTTCTCTGCTCTCTGTATTGCTTCAAGTATTCTTTGAAGAGCTGGTATTGTGGACATGTATTCTTTCAGGCTATTCGTGTTGTGGAAGTTTTTTCTTTCCCCCTCAACTATAATAGACATTTCTACTGGGTATAGTATTCTGGGCTGGCATCTATTGTCATGTAGAACTGAAAATACCTTGGTCCAGGCTCTTCTGGCTTTCATAGTTTGCATTGATAAGTCAGCTGTAATTCTGATGGACTTTCCTTTGTATGTGACCTGTTGTTTTTCTTTTGCTGCTTTCAGTATTCTCTCTTCATTCTGTACATTTAGTGTTTTTACTATGATATGTCGTGGGGAGTTTCTTTTCTTATCCTGTCTATTTGGTATTCTACATGTATGGGAATGTCTGTCCTTGATTTTGGGAAATTCTTTTTACAATCCTGTTTAAGATCTGGTCAATATCATTAACCTAAAATTCTTCTCCTTCCTCTATTCCTGTGATCTGTAGATTTGTTTTTTTCATGGTGTCCCACATCTCTTGCATATTCCATTCCTGTGTTTTTAAAAATTTTCCAATAATCTTTGGTTGAGTGTTGCGATTCTTCAACTTTATCCTCCAGTGTTGATATTCTGTTTTCCATTTCATTCATTCTAATGGTGAAGCTTTCCCCTGTTGTTTCAAGTTGGCTTATTAAGTTTTGAACTTCCTTCTTCATTTCTGCCCGAGTTTTCCTCAATGCTTCTATCTCTTTTGTGAATTCATTCTGAAGTTTATCCCTATCTTCTTTTAGTTCTTTGATTTGTTTGTTCGTGTTTTGTTTAAATTTGTTGAATTCCTTGATCATGTTTATGATTGTTCTTTTAAATTCAGTGTCCTAGGTTATCTGTAGGGGGTTCCCCTTGTAGAACTCTTCTACAGAACTGGTGGAGTTTGGTGGGGATATAGTGTTTTGGCTTTCCATTTTATTATTCTTTCATTGTATACAGGTTTCAGGTTCTCTTAGGTTTTATTTCGGGGGAACTGATGGATTCAGATCAGCTATTCAGGAGTACCCACAGAAGCCAAAGTCAGGTTCCAGTCGGGTACACTGAGGCTTCTTTCTACGATTTGGACCCCTATTCACAGAAACTCAGAGAAAATTTGGGAAATTCCCTAAGGTGGGGGTGATTTGGGGACTCTCAGTTGGTCTGCTGTGTTCTCAGCCCCTATGCCAGTAGGAGGCCCCTGGCACACTCTGTCGGTGTGCTGAGATCACAGCTGCTACACTGATGGAGGTTAGAGCCCACCCTCTCAGGCTGTCCACTGGGATCTCAGCCTTAGCCTAAGAACTACACATATACTAGTTTATTCAGCCTTTAATATACTCATTCACCCATCTACTCACCAACCTACCCATTCATCTCACACTTATCTTAATATAATTCCACCACCCATCTACTCATCCATCCATCTACCTACCCATCCATCCATTTATCCGTCCATCTGCACATTCATTCACTTCCCTACCTGCTAACCCATCTTCCTATCCATCCATTGTATCCATCTATCCATCCATTATATCTACCTATCCATCCATCCATCCATCCACACATGCATTCATTTATCTATCCCTTCATCCCTCCACACAAACATTCATCTTTTCCATCCATTTTCATATTACTTAATTCACCCATCAAATCCATCCAGCCATCCATGTATCTACACCTTTATTCACTTTTCTACCCATTAATATACCTACTCACCTATCCACATACCCACCAAATATCACTTGTAAGTTTATATACGCCAGGCATGTTCTAGATCCTGGAGATCCAAAATGAAAGCCTCCAGTCCCTCTCTTTGGGGAGCACATAGCTCCATGGGAGAGGCACAAACATGCCCCTGTGAATCTGTGCACACAGTGACTCCTTGCTGAAATCTCTTCCTACAAGCAGTGAATTAGGTGACACAGATTGGCCTAGGCTCAGACAGAGAGCACAGAGGGACCAACTCAGAGGAGAACAGCTCCTCCCTGTGTACTCTAACTTACGTAGTGGGAAGAATGTTCTGTGAGTTTTTGCATCTGAGCCAGAAGGGCCAATACAGAAGATGCTGTGAGAATTACAGGTCAGTCTGTCGTCAGTACTGGGGGGCGAGGGGGATGATGGCAGAGCTAACAAAGTCAAGGGGAGGCTGAATAGATGCAGAGGGAAGGGAACTAGAACTTAACCACAGTGTCAAAGAGAATCAGCAGAATAAATGAAAACCTAGCCAGATTTAGGAAGGAGGGAGCCTAGAGGTGGTAGCTTCCATACTCAGGAGGCTGAGCAGTATTTTGAATTAAAAGCCAGCCCACCCTGTATTAAAGAAAGAAGGAAGGAAGGAAGGAAGGAAGGAAGGAAGGAAGGAAGGAAGGAAGGAAGGAAAGAAAGAAGAGGTTGGAATAATATGAGCTATATGAGTCTCCCTTACAGTGGCAAAGAAATGGGGGTTACTTTGAACTGATTTCTAGAAAATAGAAATCAGTAGTCTTAGAGGTTAGATTGAGGTTAGAAGTGTTTGCCTCAGGCAAGTAGAACTCCAGCTAGGGTGGACTAGATGTGGAATTTCACTGGGGTGCCGATCCGTTTGGCAGAGTGCTTGCCCAGTATGCATGAAACCCTGGATTTGACCCCCAGCACCACAGAAACTTGGCATGGTATGCACAGTGTGCACCTGTGACCTAGCACTCAGGAGGTAGAGGCAGGAAGACCAGAGGTTGAAGGTCTTCTTCAGCTACATAGGGACTTAGGCTGGCCTGGGCTACATGAAACCTTGTCTCAAAACATTTTTCCCCCACTGTGTATGTAAAACTTCCTCTGTGTGAACAGATAAATGTAGACATTATATTATTAAACATGTGCATATATGAGTGGACTTTTTTTTTTTTAGAAGAAATCCTTTTCTAGAGCCTTCTTTGGGAATCCATGTCCCATTTTTGTCTTTTCTTCTCTTTTTCAGATGATCGATTTCCAGAATACGGCAAAGTGGAGTTTGTATTTTCCTATGGGCCAGAGAAAATTCAAGGTATAAGCTAAGTTGAAATTCCCGCCTCTCCTTCCCTCCATCTTCACCTGTCCTTGTCTTCCTCTTAACTCTTTCCACTGGCCAACTCTACAAACATAAAGTTACTTGTAACTGAGAGGCAGGCCAGCAGCAAAAGATCTGGGGATCAGAGTGACCCCCAGCTAAACATGAACTAGTGATATATCTCTTTATAATAAAAATAAGAAAGCAGACAGAGAGGCTGGATAAACTCAGTTGGATAAATTGTTCTGGTCCCATTAGGTCACCATCTTGTTATATTCAGAAACCCAGGGCCTTGGTGGATGGAAAGAACAGCCAAGGGGACACTCGAAGGTGTTGAGTGGATTGTGGGTATTTATGAGAACTAACGTTGCTCAACCTGAAGGCCAATTTAATAATAACCCCTCTGCCTCTAAATATGGAGACCAGTTGCTCTTCATCTTGAGAACAGAAAGGGAGGAGATGAAGTTAGATTACAGTCAGAGGGACTCTGGGTAGACTAATGAAAGGACTTCTACGCTAGGAGGTAGGTTCCCCCTGGACAGCCTGACTAGTTGTTGACTCTGAGCTGTCTGAGGATAAGAAAGAGACTTGGCCTGTCTTTGCAGCTGCCTGTCTGCAGTGGAGCGAATCTTAGGTGAGGGCAGGGGCAGGCCTGGGATGACCTTTTCCAGTCTCTGTGTCCTGCCAATATCAAGGCTGTAATTTCCCTACTGTCCCCACCTGCAGGTGGTTTATGATAAACCTGTCTTGTATCTCTTCTCCAGCCTCCAGAGCGTGTTCCTGCCCTAGGGCCATAGAAGAAAAAGAGGCAGCCAGTGGGTGGAGCCGTGGCTTTCTCCTGGGGGTCTACTTTCTTTTGTGCCCTGCCTTGATTTGCCCTTAGGACTTAGTCCAAGACTCCTGGGTTCTCTGGCCAACTAAAGTTAATCAGCCCTGCCACACTCCAGAAAACAAGCAGTCCCTCAGGGACCATCCATGGGGGAGCTCACGGGCTTTCTGTTTTCCTCTGTCCCCACTGTCCCCCACTGATTCCCTACAGGCATGGAGCACCTGGAGAATGGGCCCAGTGTGTCTGTGGACTATAACACCTCTGACCCTCTCATCCGGTGGGATTCCTATGACAACTTTAATGGGCATCGTGAGGACGGCATGGAGGGTAGGTGGGGCTGTGTGGTTGCCAGGCCCTCTCTGGAACTGGGTAGTCCTGGCCTATGTGGCCTTGGGTCTGTTGGAGAGGTCTGGGGGTTCCCTGAAGGAGGTGGATTTGGGTGGAGCAGACTGTACCCACTCTGTCTCTTTGGAGCCTGTCATTGGACATCTGTAGGCAGCAGCCTGTGTTCTTAGGGGGTCAGAGAATGTGGAGGTACATGAAGCATTTGGGGGCCCTACAGATTTCCTGAGGAGCCAGTTAAGATGTCTGAGAGCTAGAACCCAATTTGAATTCTGAAATATGAGTTTTTAATTTGACCCCAAACCCTAAGGTTATGTCTCATGGTCAGCTACAGTCAGGTCTGCTTTGGAAGGTTTGGTAGCCCACCCATTTAGTTATGTAGCTCACTGAACATGTAGGAGGGCTGGGGGTGGAGCCACCAAAACCAAATCGGCCCAGAGAGAGCAGGAAGCCAGGTATCCTTGAGATCCAATGCTCCCTTCTGGAGTTTGGTCCCAGGCTTGTTTCCCTGATACGGTCACAAAATGGCAGAATGTTAGCATATTCTGGAGGCTTCCTTACATGCGTTGAATCAGGATAGCTGAGAAACCCGACCCTCCCCCCAACTGCTGTCCTCTGGCATCCTGTGCAGGCATCCTCTGCCCTGAAGTCTTGCCCAGGGCGCCAGCAGATTCCAGAGACTGGAGGAGGGAGGGTGGCTGGACTAGAATTCAGGGGCTGTATGAGGGTGCTTTTCATATGTAGCTCCAGAGGTTGGTGGCTTGCTTTGAACCCCCTTGAGATGCCTTGTCTTCCCTCTCTGTCCTTGTCCCCATACCTAGTCCCCTTACTCTGAGTGGCCCAGTGGTCTAGGGAGAGCAGTGGATGAAATGGATTAGTTCCGAGGCCTGCTGCTGCCAGCCTCATTGTTTCTTGTTTTGGGGATGTTTGCATTTTTAACAAGAACTCTTGGCAATTGGAAGGAATTTTTAATGCCTCACTGTCTCTCCCTGGTGCAGATTCAAAGTGATGATAAATGTAAGAATATTTAGTGAGCTCTAAAGTGCCAGGCAAATCGAAGGTAAAATAATTAAGCACCAGAAGGAGTGGATGTGGGAAGATTGGCCTGAGGGAAGGAAGGAGAGCTGAGGGTCAGAGTTGGGAAGCCTGGGGAGGCAGTCTTAGGCAGAAAAACCTGGGGCAGCGGACCTGTGCAGACAATGGGCAGGGCAAACATGGGAAGGCCCGAGCTCTCTCTGTAGCCCCTCTCCCTGTGATCCACTCTCTCAGCATGGAGATGGAGCCAGCAGGACCTTGGACCAGTTAAAGGTCAGTTCATCCTACTAGGACAGAGGGGCTCCTGTTTGCAGGCCAAGAAGCTGGCCCTCTGCCCAGAGTTGGGGGAGCAGCTCAGGGCACTGCTGTCCCCTTCGCTGGCCTGGTCTGACTGAGACTAGGCTGGGACAGTTGAAAGGGGACAGCTACCCTGTACTCCCACTGTGTGCTCCTAGCCTCCTGGCCCTGGGCTGCATCCTCACTAACTGGTGCTCGAGACCTTTGAGAGCGGACTATCCCAGTCTTGTGCTTGCCTGCTGGCCCCCTCAGAAGGCTCTTTATCCTGGGGACCAGAGGTAAAAGGGCATTCTTGTGGCTATGGTCAAGAAAAAACATACCCAAAGCCTGCCTTTTGGGTATGTAGACTCTACCTTCACCTATGTCCTCAAGTGTCCCCCTCTGTGTGTCCATGTCCTGATCTCTGTGTAAGGACAACAGGCATAGTGGAGTGGGATTCTCCTTAGTGACCTTCTTTCGTCTTTGCCACTTCTTTCTTTACAGCCACTGCACTCTGCCACGTCTGGTTCAGAGGGCATGGTTCACCCCATCACACCTAGAATGGAGCTCTCTGGGGTCCATGCAGCCAGGTGTCCATGCTTGGGGTCCTGCTGGGGAAAAGGGAGAGTCGAAGGTGGTGTGGAAAGCTGTCCAACCCCTGCTGGCAGCCTCCACCTCCCTCTGGATTGGTGTGGAACCTGCCAGCTCATCCTTGGCTGACACCACGGCTCGGTTCGAGGCTCCAGAAGTCCCATTAGCTTCTTGGCTGGAGTTCTGTGCCCCGTGCCCAGGTCCCAGCACCGCTTGGGTGGGAGCAAGTCTTTGTTTTTGCCTATGCTGCACAGAGCACTGTCCAAATTCCTCCAGAAGGTTCCAGGGTAGCATTTCTGAGAAGCAAGTTCCAATAGCGGTGTGGGGGCAGCTTCTAACTCTGAGGAGCCTAGAGACTGACCAGGCTCAAGCTCTCTTGGTACCCTTTTCTCCTCACTATCCTCTGACTTCCCTGGCCATTGGGCTGCCGAGAGTCTCTCAAGACTTAAAGGACAGGACAAGACAGGGGACGGGCAGGCACTGGGCATATGAGGGTGGGGAAGCAGGTTCCAGGCCCAGGCTGGAAGACAGGGTGAAGGGGGAAGATAGTTCATCTCAGGCCTGGTGTGGTGTCTAGCACTCTGGACTCCTCTAGGTTTTGCCTGTGGAAGTTCCCAGACAAGCCAGGGCTGGTGGTAGTGGTGGTGGTGGTGGTGGTGATGGTGGTGGGTGTTTGATTTGGTGCCCTAGCTTCTCAGAGTTCTGGTTTGTGAGGAAAGACATGTACTTCTTCAGGGGGAATTTTCACACTGTTGGGTCTTCTTCTCAGCTGGGAAGACTCCCTTGTAGAGCTAGGAGTCTCTGGTTTGGGAGACTATTGGCAGTAAGTTTGGTCAAGACTTCTTTTATTTTTCTTTTTTTGAATTTATTTTTTTCAAATTTCATAAGTATATTTTGATCCCCTTTCCTATCTGTATCTTCCTTACTACCCTGCCCAATTTTATGTACTGCAATATATGTGTGTGTGTATATAAAACTCTA